CTTATCTCTTCTTTTCTCACTTTAAACGAAATTCACCAACGTCCGAAACGGAAGCATGATTGGTGGAATGCGAAACGCTACAACGCGGACCTCTATTTCCACTTCGCGCGACTTACGTATACATAGTATAAGCGCATCTTTGCGGACGTTATTAGTATCTGTCAAGAGGCAGGACACTCGTGTACGGACGTTATACATGTCGGAACACTTCTCTCGTCGCACGTACATACAGTTATACACATTTCCATGGAACAGTCGCTATCGATTGTCGTGACGTTGGGTGAATCCGAGTATCCGCATACGGGGCATCTGCCACTCCTTTCCCTTGTTTCTTTCTTACTGTAGCGTACTGTATCGGTGTCGCGTCCCGAATGCGGGACGCAGGAAGCCGATACTGCATCGACTAATAATGTTTTTCGCTAAGAAAATTACGCAGAGTGTCGTGCTTCTTATCCAACGACAAAGCGAATCGATTCGATACACCGTGAACGTTATGGAGCAGTGTTTTACAAACTTTTCTGACTGTTCATCTTGAACTACCCTTTGCAGTGGCATGGTCAGAAATTGAAAGAGAACGTTGCAACGAAAAATTGACGGTTTTTACATATTTCGACAGTAATTCTTCTGACAGTAAATCTCCACTTTGAAAGTAATTCTCCAAAAAAGCAGCTCATCGTGCATACAGTACCCACTCGATCCCACAATTTTTGTGTTAAATCTTCCCCGCGTGAAGTTAATTTCGAACAATTTCCCTCGACCATCTTTCCTCCGTAAGTGGAATAGCTCCGTGCCCGAGGGACTGACGAATATTTGTAAGGAAAGACTAATCGTCCGAGTCGATCGCACCTAAGTGCTGCAACAGCCATTAGAGCGAAGAACAAAATTTGATTTCGCGACCTTGTATCGTTTTTCGCCGCATGACTCCGTCCCGCGTCCTGAATCCGCAATAGTCTGGAAACGCCGTTCCACCGTCAGCTGATACAAGTGGCTGTACGTGATCCGGTAACGGAATGCCGCTGGAAAAGTATAATTGAATTAATAAACTACGACGAAATCTGGCGGAGGGAACTTATTTACTCTGGGGTTGGCGCAACGGGCACTGCGGAGCTCGAAGAATAAAAGATTTTATGCAAGCAGCAACGGTTTGTCCGTTGGCCTAAATTTACGAGCTTCTTGATACGGTAGGAGATAAAATTACCCGCGGAACGAGAATTGCCGTGTTCCGTTTACGATCTCTGATTTTTATTTCCCTCTTGCGTTCCGTAAACGTACCGGTCTTTACTGTTCGCTTAAGTAATAGAGTTAGGTTTTGCAGGCAGTAATTAATTCCGAAACGCCCGTTATCTGCGTCACTCTGCCGTGGGGTTGTTACGGTAATGTATTGCTGGCGTTTTCTGTTCGGTGAATATTCCGATTTCCTTTCGGACCGTCCAATTGGAAACTTAAAAACGAAAAGGTAGATTTTATTTCTCGTTGTAACAGCATTCCATTGTTTTCTAGATTCATGGAAGAATATTCAATGGAAGTATTCTCTTGCTGAGAACAGTGTTTTGCTATCGCTTCAGATTCTCTTCGAGAAATCTCTTCTTATGGGTTAAATATATAATTTTGTTACCAAACAGACGTTTTGTTTAATATCGTATACGACCAATCATTAGATAAAGACGACGAAACACTAATGACATTTAAAGAAAACGAACTTTCATAGCAGATGCTTTCCTTGCAATAATTAACTTTGAACATTTCGCAAGTCTATACCCAGTTGATTAAGATATCTCTCAAAACTTCAGCGAGGACTAATATTATATTTCGTTGGAACATCTTGGTACTCTACCCACGAAATTAATTTGACGTATACCTAATTGCTAACCGCGTGTTTACCATGATAATAAATATACCGCTAAAAGCATTCCCTCGGAATTACCAAGGTACACTTTATCAAAGTTTGTTGTGAATAATAGTTTCCAGGGTTCACTCGTCATCTTGTAGCAATATACAGGGTGTGACCGGACAAATAACATTTTTTGCGTTCGACGCTTCGTTTTCGAGAAAATTGAGTTTGAAAGTCGCGTGTAAGTTATCGTACATTCCTCCTACATTTGCCATAAATACATAAACATACATTTGGGGCAAAAGTGGCTGATCAAAAGTACAAAGAATCGTTCTGCCGCCCAAAATACGAAATTACTCTCCGAGTAATAACTTTCTAGTAACAGAATTCGATCAAACAGATCTGTCCGTCGATAACGTAGCACGCTCTGTCGATAATACTCGATAACGCGGATCACTCGGTTGGTAAAGTCACTCTTCGAGTAACCACGCGACAAACGGAAGCCTGTACGTTGAACAATCCTACACAAAGACCCTCGATTCTAAACTCGAGCTACAAATTCATCCAGTTCGAAACTGCCTTACCTTTTTCCATTTTTCTTTGCACACCTGGAGACTTTCGCGCGTCTGTTGAACACGCGAAACGAGGAGGTTAACCGCAGCGCACCGCGGCCGAACAATTTCCACGGATTAAAGTCGCGAATGTACGAGCACGCCGGAAGACAACCACCTTACCGCCTTACTTTGCCTCTGCATAAATCCCCTGCAGGAAACTTTCAACGAAATACACCTTAATTAGCTGGAATATCGTCGCGGCAAGCGCGGGACACGCGGTTGCTTGCAATGACGCTCGCAGTTTTCCGCAGCCGGCATTCCACCTCCCTTCCTCTATTTACTCGCGCCGCGTTCTTTTCTTCGTTTTCCCATAGCACCTAGCGCGGAGGCGTAATCTTTGAAATGAGCCCGCCGGTTTCTCGGAACGGAACACGTCCTACATATCCCAGCATCTCCCAGGAGCCATTGGCGTACCTCTAAAGACGGAACAGGGATTTTTCACTTTTTCGTTGTCGAACGATCTCCACGGGTGCACGTATTGGGTTACCGGGTCAGCCGCATCGTTCTACTCCATTATTATACCGAGAGAGCTGCCGATCGTTCTCCGATGTTGGCTCCTGGCCATTTCGGGATGACGAAGAAATTTCGAAACACCTGTCGTGAATGCTAATTCGGAGAACAGACTAATTGCTGCGAAGGCGGACCGCTCTCCTGAAACGGATAGATTTATTTACTGGCGGGTCGTGCGCCAGGAATTCTGAGTGTAGGTTCCGGAGACCACGGTCTTATATTGATTATACGATTCAATCGGTTGGTTTGGTATTTTATTTAAAATTATTGGGAAGTACAACTCGCGAAGCGTAAATGACTTTCTTGATGGTTCCTTTAGTTTCTTTCTCATTTGTTCGATCAACATCTCTCAAATCTTTTTTTTTTTTTTCAATTACAACATTCGTGTCATTCAGTTTTTATTTCAATCGAGCACATGCCTTGAACTTTTTCCTTATATTACATCAAAAATGTGTATTACGAAAAATGTCTACACGTATCGAAGCTAGTAGAAGTAAGTAATAATAGCCGGACACTCGTCGGTCACATATTTACTACATGAATTTTCAAAATCTATATTCTACAATACGACGAAAAATATTCCATTTTGCATTTACAATCCCATTTTATACGAAGAATCGTCCCTTGTCTGATTAATCGATTCGTCGACAGTAATAAATTAGTCTCTACTCTGTGTACGAATTTATGTAATTATTTATCCAGCTTTCAGAGCAATTTTTTAAATTATTTTTTTATGGCGGGCATTTAAACGTTTTTCAAGATAGCAGGGCAGAGATATTGTACAATTGCAGCGTTTTATTTCCAGCTTTGTTATTTGAGAAGCATTTAAATTTCATTTCAAGCATTGAAATGTGCCTGTTAAACGAATCATCCCACGAAGTACATTGCGATGTAATATTTCAATCATGGGCGGAAAGTAATATTTTATACGGACGATAGGTCGTAATGTACGTCTGTTATTCTGAATTGAAAACTGGGCGTGATATTTCAGGCTCCAATGGCAAAAAATATTGTAAGAGCGATGGTTCGCTTTCGAGATATTTATTCGTCGAACTTTATTGTAGGCGGGATTCTGATGAACGTTTCGGCTGCTGGGACTATTTTATATTTACAATTGATACTGCCAAATATTGTGTTTGATCTCTTCACTCTTTCCAACCGTATTCATTTCTACATGTACTCCAAGTGCAAACAATTAATGTTGTTAGTATCTTAATTGTGTTTGCTTTTTACTCGTTACTTTTTATAGATTGAACCGAGCTGAAAGATATTTTAATAATTGATGACAATGTATTCTGTTTATCTAGAAGAATTTATATATGTGTCAAAATTACTACTATCGATATAATAAAATGAAAATGAAAATTTAATACGTGTTCACAATCATGAAGATATTTTAATAAACAGATTATCTAATTACTCTAAGTAAGTAATTGGTTACGGTTGAAATGAAAAAGTCAATATTTCAGAACCATTCAGACAATTTTAAGAATTCGACATAAATTTTTTCCCTGTAAATCAATTTCTACAAATAAAATTCTTGTACAGTGTCTCTAAATATACACTTAAATTGATCGACGAAATTCCTTAAATTCCTTTCAACAAGTGACATACCTGTACCCTGCACTTGCAGCCCCTCTAAGTAGATTTCGATGGAAAATTCTCGAATTTTATAGACAAATAAACAAATAGCAGCGCGCCCGCTTACACATCGAACAATCCTGACATATGCAATGGATATTTCTGTCAATGGAATAGTATCTTCCTGTGGCTTTCAACGACGAATACATTCGTTAACCAACCATACGAACCGAAATTCGTACCTCGAATTCTCTCGTACCGACACCGAGAACGTTACAGCGAAAAAATCGATCGTCCCGGAGAGAGATCGAGACATTCGCTGCATATTTCCATCATTTTTTTCCAAGCACGACTCCCGATATCGATTTCTCATCACTTTCCCGCGCTCCCGATCGCAACGGTATCTACACCGGCGCTTTGATATCCACAGATGCGATAACGTTACTTTCCATTATCTGTTGCAGAGTTTACGCAACATGATGACAGCCAATACAACGGACGCCTGCGAAACCCGTGATCCCTGCCAGCACGGCGGAATCTGCATTTCCACCGATAGTGGACCCATCTGCGAGTGCAGGTCTGGCGATTATGAGGGCGCCTATTGTGAGAAAGGTGGGTTGTTTTACATGCATCCGGATGCCTTCGTTGTTTGCATACCGTGTACGGGAGAACTTCCACGTTGCGAACGTCCGTCCTTCGCGTTACCGTTCGATCGTGATCTACGTGGATCGAGCTTTCATGCGAATCCTGCCAGCGTGGCCCAGTATTGTCACCTTGATATCTCCGGGACAAAGAAAGTCGGACGGAATTCGGTGAACAAAGAAACCTCTGCACGCTGATATTTTTCACGTAAATGGTAGTTACTTCTCAAGTTTTAATTACATGGCAGAGTTCAAAGGTGCTAATTTAGAGGATGAAAGTAATAATTTTGACGTTCGATCATTCGCCTCATTCTGATGAGTCCAATTTTTGTCAGTCGATCTTTATGTATATAAAATTTGTTTTTGACAGACACGACTTTTCCACGATAGATCGATTAATTTTCAAAACAGAAAGAATTACATATACTGTACGTAGTAGTAATTATATGACTGCAGAACTATGCCGAATAACATTCTGTTTTTGAGACGTATGTTAAAAACATTTCGCGCTGAATGGATCGATTCAGGCGATTAGTAAACACTTGAATAAACACCTATTTGATAATGAAATGTAATTAACGCAATTAACACAATAACTGGGGTGCTGTTCTATACAGATGCACCTGATGCGGATAGTTGGGTTTACAATACTCTCTGAATTATTGATTACAATCAAATATAGGGGTACCTTTAGCCAACTACAATTCGATAGTTTGATTGTTCGCTGCATGCTCGTTCTAATAATTCTCATAAATACAATATACATTTGGAATATAAAAGGTACAGATAATAATAAAATCGTAATACTCGTTTCTAAATGGTTTCGAAATAGTTGAGAATTAAAATATATTCAATAAAAATATATGAAAAATATTTCCATCGCGAAATCCAATAAAGAGAATATTATTGTTTGCTTTGGATCGAATCATATTACATTAATAATTACAAAAGAAAAGTTCGTGTCAATATTGCGTTATTCAGTGAAAATATTTACATTATAAATTAGAATAAAAACAATTTCGCTGTTTGTCATGTATCTTACTCAATTTCAAGTCGTAAACGAAAACTTTCGAATATGCGTACTATTCGATAAAAATGTTTCAAAAAATATTTCCACTAGAGTTTCTACCGGAATTTTTATCAAGAACAATTTCATTTTTGACGAGATTTCAATTCCATTCAACGTCAAGTTGTAAATTAAAACTTCCACATCCCCTTATGTAACTCAATGAAAATATTTTCAGAAACTTTCAAAAAAGTGCTAACAAATTCATGTCTCGCGGAAACGCTTCAGAGATTTAAAATTCTTCATCCTATTGGAACATGGGAATCCACTCTTCAGTAATGCTTAATGTAATAACAAAAGCACGTTCCTCCACTCTTTAGTAATATTTAACCTCCTCGGATGCAAATTTTTCCTCCACGTCAACCTATAAGTAGCTTCTTCGTTTTTCAAGTTATTTTAGATTTCACAAGAATAACCAAATTGGAAATCGAGTTAACGTTTTCATGTATTTTCAGAACAGTTATCATATTTATTCACTCGTTTCCATTATAAATGTTCGTTTGAATATCTACTAATATCGAAATATATACACATCGACTTTAAATTATTTGTAATTCTCACAAAATATGCTCGAGAGTAATCAATCGTAGGTCACGTAGATCTTTTTAATAAATGCATTGTTCCGTATTGAAAAAAAAGTAATCTTAAGAACTGAACGCAACAGAAGCATCAACATTAACGACGACAATAAAACTAAAATCCACCAATTGTCGAATGCACGTTTTGTTTTTTAGTACATCTGGACTGCTCGATAACACGGTCCCATCGAATTTTAATAACGGTGTTTTCAGTTACCATCGGAAAGTATGATTTATTGTCGCAGACGCGACATCCAATATTTTACAAATATTTCATGTTTCGCTCGCGCCAATGGCTCGACCCTCGACGAACAATTCAATTAATCGCGATACCGACGCGACCTCCCCTCTCGCAATCAGCTTTTTACACCGCTACACTTTCCGCGCTGTTAATCCGTTAATGCCGTGTCAACCTGAAACTTTCCTAAAAGCGATATCGATCATCGTTACGCGGGCGCTGTCGATTTTTCATGCACGCACGCCGGCGCTGAACGAACTTTAATCATTTACTGTTTTCACCCTGGAATCGAATAATAAAAATAGTGCCAAGTATCTTCTGTCTTCGCTTACATAAGTTACGAAACTCTTAGAATGCATCCATTTTATAACCAATGAAACGTCTACATTGGAAAGCAAGTAATATAAAAGTCTGCAATGATTGAACGTAAACTTTGAAATGACAAATACGAGAAAGTAATTGAATGACATTTACACAAGCTGCAGTATTTAAGAAGACTAGAGAACGATGCTTAAACACGACCCTTTAAATCGAAGATACGCGAACGTAGTAAATCTCTAGTACCAGTTTGAACATTTAAATGAAAACGATAGAAACAATTTCCCCTAAGGTCCGAAACATTGTTGAAGCTATTACTGTAAATTAATTTCTACGAAGCAATTAGTGTCGCAAATTGAAGGCTCGTTTACTCGTCGATGGACAAAATTGTTCAGCGGAACGTTATGGTCGTCCCAGGGTAGCATGTTTGTCAGGCCTCTGGATCAAACTATAATTTTTCGAACAATCGCTGCCGCCATTAACCGTTAATTGCCACTAAATCCTGCGTATAATGCACCGCAATGAAATTAGTGCCGCGAAACATTGGCATTGTAATTTTGTTAGACGACGCTTGCTCGTTACAAATTTAATTACGGCTGCGATATGTACACGGAATACGTATGTATTTTATACGGAATTTCGATGCCTTACGTACGTAAGTTATTAATATGCATTAATAAATTAACCCGCAACCAGCACGCGATCGAAAGTACTGCGTTTATTAATTTCTTCTTGAATCGATGAATGTTGTTGTTATTAAACAAAAATTTTTGTAACGTAAATTTGGTTCCGAAATGGTGCAATTTAAAATCAAAAACTTTAAAATAATATCTAACGGCAACATCCAATTCTAAATTGTTGAGATATTATCATACCAACAAAAATTTGATCTCCACTCTATTGTGACCTCGTTCAACTAAATACAGTATAGCGGTGCCATATGTTCATCGTCGAATTACGTTGGTAATGCGGAATACATCGTAGATTGGAAACCCCAGATGTGGGAGGAAATTTCTGGTACGCAATATTATTGCAATTTTACTACCAAGTAATTATTTCACTGGGATATTAAATATGTAATTTAATCCGGAATGTTCCAAAGTTTCAGCAGTGGAACCGTTTAATTGAGGTCTCTAATTATAAATGCTTTCAAAGTTTTAACGGAGATCGATCGTATATTCATTATTATCTACTAATCTTTATTTGCACGGAGAACCTGAACGAAAATTAAAAGTACCACAATTGCGATATTTTCCAATTGATAAATTACTTATTGTAAGAACAAGTTACAAATGAACAATGAGCTTGCAACTAAGCATTCGGTCGAGTATTAAACGGCCAAACAAGATCGTCCCAGAAAGTGTTTTTTAAAAGCTGTTTTGTGTTACAGGAAATCAGTTCCGACCCTATTCACGGCGCAAATTCCGTTTCTCTTTCATTAAGCAATTGTACGCTGGCCTTGTAACTTTTCAATTGCGTGCGTCTAGACTATTTCTAAACGCAGAAAGCTAGCTCTTAGGTTGGCTCTGAAGCTCGTTCAGCGCTGCATTTAAATGAAACCATAACTCCGTTCCTTCGAATCGATTCTCTCTCCACTCGCACTCGCGCATAGTATTCCAAGGGAAGCACCTGATTCAATGAGTCTAATTCAATAAGTCGATCCTCACGAACATACGGAGAAATATTTAACCGATACGAAGGTGACTAGGTTCGTTGTCTAGAATATAGAAATATTACTAGAAATATCATTCGAACAGTACCGTGTATCTCTATTTTTAATTCAATTTCTGTTCAATCGAATTAAACAGAATGCTAACATTTAAATTCCATATTACATTCTTTTACTGGAATAAACAAAATTTTATTATAAACCATTCCATCGAAGAAGTTACATTTAGATAAAATGTTGTTCCTTTAGTACAGTATACAACTTAAATGTATAATTCAGACTGTAATGTTTATCGAACGAACAAACAACTAAAATTTGTTTATTCTTTGGTTGCGTTGTACCGCTGTACCGCAACACTGCATTATTTTCTGATAAAGTCGAAACCTTTCATATACGAATCACAAAAATAATTGCTATAAAACAGCTTCGGGTTCGTGTTTGACGATTCCCCTTGCAAGAAAGGTGTACGAAGTTTCATGAAAATGTTCCCCTAAATGGTCAGCTACCGGCGCACTTACCTTCCATAGAAATTGCTAACCGTTTCCCAGGTCCGCGACAGAAATCGAACGTCGCAAACAGGCGAGGCGTTTTCACGTCCAGGAAACTCGGTTTTCTCCGTTCCGCGACGTTTTATTTCGACGCAGTCGGTTATGAAAATTCGCGCCGTTAAATCTCCACGTCAGTCGCGCGCTTTACGAGCAATTCACGTAGCTCGTTGGAACAACACCCGTTGTTATCCACCGGGTTCACCCTCCGCCATTCGGTGGCGGATCTACAGCGGGTGGCCAAGTTATTAGTTACGCGTATTAAAAGCTCACGCATTCCAAGATTGATCGACCTGGCATTCTTAACGTGGGTGAAATTATCTTTCGACAAGGCAAATTATTATTAATTTAACACGTTTAGCACGTTTAATTTAGCACGTTTCACGAATCATTTTTATGTGCGATCTTCAATTGGAATTTACAATCTCCAAAAATTAAGATCGTGATTTTTAAAGAGGTCTCTGCGTACGATACTTGAATTCATATTTCTATAGGACTCTTTTTTTGATCCATAAAATATGGAAAATAAACTAGATTCGGTAACTATGTGTGCATGT